AAGGCTGTGCCTACCGAAGAAGAAATAGAGTCAGAAGTAGAGCATACCTCATCATCTGATTGTGCCATGAGGCAGAGGTCTTCAGTTTCTGCATCCAAGCAGCAGAAAGCTTCATCAGAGTCAGAGTCTGAACTGGACTCTGATTCAGAGAGTGGATCTCTCTCAGCTTGCTCTGAGACGAGTGCTCTTCTTCTTCTGTGTTGATCATCTGGTTTCTTTTCTTCTTCATGTCCTTGTTTCTTGGACACTCTTGGGTAGGGGCAGTTTGCTTTGAAGTGCCCAGGTTGTCTGCAGTTGTAGCAGAGGTACTCTCCATTGCTTTCAGAAGGTTTGGTTTTCTGATGAGGTCTTCTGATGGAAGATGGACTCCTTCCATCTTTCTTCATAAACTTCTTAAACTTCCTGGCAAAAGCAGCCATATACTCATCAGATAAAAGTGTAGAAGGGTCAAAGTCACTTACCTTAGAGGTGCTGGCAGTGAGAGCAGTGGTGGTCCTTTCATCAGGAACTTCTTCCTTCTCTTCATGCATCTCAAACTCATAAGCCTTGAGATCAGAGATGAGTTTCTCAGTGGCATAAGTCTTGATGTTCTTGCTTTCCTGGACTGCAATCACTTTCATCTTCCAAGCTGAAGGCAGTCCTCTGAGGATCTTCATGTTGACCTCTTTGATGGTGAGCTCCTTTCCAAGCTCAGAAATTTCACTGATGAGAATCAGCAATCTCTCATGCATCTTAGCAATGCATTCTTCTGGCAGAAGTTTGAAGTCATCAAACTTCTTCATTGCAATGGTTAGCTTGTTATCTCTTTCTTGTTCATCTCCTGCTCCTATCTCATCAAGCTTGTCCCAGATTTCCTTAGCAGTCCTGCATTTCTTTATTCTATTGAAATATCTTTCATCAATAGCTTTGTAGAGAATGTCCTTGGCTATATTATCTAGGTTGTACTGCCGCTTCTCTTCCTTGGTCCACTCTGACCGGGCTTTCTCAATCATCTGGGGCTGAGAGTTATCAATAGAGTGAGCAGGATTGATCTTCATGAACTGGATAAAGGGTCCATTCTCCAAGACTTCCCACATTTCATCATGAAGAGCACACAGATGTGCCTTCATTCTGATCTTCCAATCATCATATTTCTGATCTGTGAACATTAGATGCTTTGCAAGAGAGTTATCCATTATAATAAATAAAGAGGCTAAAAACAAGTGGATCTTTGTTCAGAGAGTAACCTAAAAGATTACAAGAACAAGGAGGCTCTGATACCACTTGTTGGTCCCGTTTAATATGGTAATCAGTCTAGGGGGGGGGGGGGTGAATAGACTGATTGGTTTTTCAAATTTTCTCTAAGTCCTAAGTGACTTATCAGAGAAGGTCTGATTCTGATGACAGAGAAAGGCTGGTTCTGATATCAGAACTGGCCTTGGCAGCGGATTCTGATCTGTCCGGGTAGCCTCAGAAACACTAAGGCAAATGCCTTTCTGATAACTCTGAGAACAAGATCTGCTGAACACAGATTCCGAGTTTTAGAGTTAATCAGTTAATATCCTAGGTGCAGAAATATAAATTGCAGTAAAATAAATGACACCGGATATTTTTATAGTGGTTCAAGGAACAACTCGTTCCTCTAGTCCACTGTTCCACTAGCTTTGAAGTAGATCGGTTACAAAGCTAATTCCTAGCACTTAAGAAGTTCTCCACGCCTTCTTCAAGCCTAGTTGCCACCCAGGATGCAGTTCCACGTCCTGATGGCTAGCCCTTTCACTCAGCTTCCCGGAAGTATCACCACTTCACTACTGCAGTTACTTGGACGCCCTTCTTTTCAGAAGATCCTTTGAAAAACAGAGTTTTTCCTCCAACTTGCTTCGTCACAAATGATATGTAGTTGAAGTTCTTGAAGTGTTGAAGAACAGGATGAACTTTGCTCTTGTTGGGGATGAGAGATTGTGAGATTGAATCTTCCCAACGTAAGCTTTTTCTTGTTTTTATGTTGTGGAGTTTGAATCTCAAGAGAGCTTGTAAATTTTATGAGCAAAAGTTGTAGCAAAGTTGTTTTTCTGTTCTTCGGTGAGTAGCTTATATACTGAGGTTGTCTGCCCGTTGGAGGAGGAGACAACTGCATTAAATGCGCGTACTGTTGACTTGACCGCCGTTTTGGAAGGTTTCTATTTTTATAATATATCTTCCCGGATTCTTTGGTCAATCATTTGCAATCAATCCTTCAGCGTATCAGGCTCATTTATTGTGCATTAAATGCTTTCCTTTCATGCACAGTCTTCTAGCCGTTGGATGTTTTACCCGCTGGATTCATAGCTGTTGGATGTTGCTTGAAATCTTCTAAGTGTTAGTCGGGCTCTGATCAGGCTCTTCTGACATGTTGGATTCTGATGGCCTTCTGATGCGTTGAGTTCTGATGGTTTTCTGATCTCTGACTCTGATAGGTCCGCTGATGCGTACCTCTGATCTGTAACTCTCATTGGTTATCAGATGTCCAAATTTATCAGCAACTCTCATAGTGCAACTCTGATGGACTTCTGCTAAGAGAACTCTGATGGAGCAGTTCTCATAGAGCAAGTCTGGTCGAGCAGTTCTGATGCACTTCTGATCTGATCCAAAATAGAGCAACTCTGACCGTCGACTACACTAATACTTACAATTGAAAATTCTAATACATAAAATCTAATTTGGGGGTACTTTAAAATTCTAATCCTATAGCATCATCAAAATCTAATTACATTTAATCCTTACAGCAAGAAATAGGGATCAAGAAACAATAAGGTAGCGAGTAAGTGATTAGGTATTATTATCTCTTAATAACTCCCTAATACAATACTCTTTGCTAAGGCTCCGTCGGCCGTTCGTCTTACAAGGCAGTAGAAGTGCTGCGAGTAAGAATGCTAAAGCTAGAATGCTAAGAATAGAAAGTTGCCAACCCTTTACAATGAAATAAATGCTTCTATTTATACCCGCCAATGGGCAGGTGGCTATGCTGACGTGGAAGCCTGTGGACCGCTGGTGTCCCAACCACCAAATCTTCAGCATTAAATGCACTTCCCGCCAGAATCTAGGTTTCCCGCCTAAATAGTGGGGACGTTCGTCCGCCCGGGAAGCGAGTTGGATCGCTTCAAGTGACCCTCAAGAGGTATCGGCTGCTCGTCTCCTGGCCTTGTTGGATTCTCACCATGTGGACTGGATTCCCTCTGATGATTATAGACTTGCTCTGGAGACGTTCGTCGTCATCCCTGATGGCCCGTGGTTCTGCTCCTTGTTCCTCCGTAGATGCTCGTTGAGATGGGCCGTTGAGCCTAAACCCCAATTCCAGCCGTTCGTCCCTCCCCAAGGACATGGGCCTGCGGCTAGCCTTGTGTTCTAACTGGACGTACCTCTGGTAAAAAAAGGGTTAATGGGCCGGACCTCGGCTTGGGCCATTAACCCAACAGAATTAATTATCATTAACTAAAAAGTTGGAACATACAAATAATCTCAGGGCCTTGAAGAACAAAAAATACATAAAAACTCGTTTCTAGGCTTCTCTCTAAGCTCTGCCTCTCGAAAACAAGGGTTAGGGGCCTTATTTATAGAAAACAATCGAATTTGGCTAAAATTGGGACTTTCCGGGGCAGGCCCAACTTCCGTGCCTCCGGAGCATCAGCGAATCACAGTGTCGGGCACGGCGTGCCTCCCTTGGCACGCACGTCGTGACCGACCGACAGTAAGGTCTTCGAATTCCCAGCTTTCGGGCACTGCATGCCCGGCTTCGTCTCTCATCTTTTGCCATTGTTTCATGCACGCACGACATGCCTCCCTGGCACGCATGGCGTGCGTGGTCAATTCTTGATAATTTTCTTCCGTTTCTTGCTCTCAATGCTCTCGTTTGCTCCCGTGATCGATCCTAAAGATGTCATCAAATCTTCATCGTAAACCTCGTGGTGACCTCCAAATTTCTCAATTCACTCTCAAATGCGTCACGACTCGTCTCGATTGCTTCCCAAGCGCCGATGTCGGGCTTAAATTCCCTGATTTTGACCCCAAAAAATACCAAACACGAACCAATGCCCGATAAAATATGACTTGAGCTAATTTTGAGACTTGTGACACCTTTAAGCTAGGAAAACCATCAAAAGTTGATCTCAACACACTTCAAATGTGTGTCGAAATACGGACTTATCAGTTATCTGGCAGCGAAATGTAAAACCTAAAGGAACGTGGGCATTGATTGCAGAAGTTATGACAAAGACGTTGCTAGAGTTTTCTTATGATTAAAAATTATTAAGTGTGTCGGTTATGTCTCCTAACGGCAATATAGCTCTATGCTAATAAATACTTGTTGTAAAATATATCCTAAAAGGGATTCGCCTCTGGAAAAAGTACATTGCCTTACGTTGCCAAATTATAGACTCGTACATATCGAACCCATCGTTAATTAGCTTTTGCGGTTGGAATTATACTCCATCAAACGGTAAGGTGAGGGTAGTTGTAAGTGGGGCATTAATCTAGTATGGGAGCAACAATAATTTTTCTTAGGACGGAGAGGAGATGCCGAATTAGTGAGTTATTTGATGGGAAGGGGTGAGATAATAATGGAGCTTTGCGATGTGAGTGACATAAATGATGTTTTTAGTGGAACACGCAGGCAAACATCAATACAACCATTCCAAACCCAATCAAAAGTTCTATGGTTAGGCATAAAATTAATCACCCATAAATTAAAAGAACATATTGACTTGCTAACCATGAAACGAACAACAATAAGTTAATAGTGACCAAATTATGGTTTTCATCCCTTGACTCGTTCTCATGCTTAACCCTGGATGTTACCATACTAAACCCCACCAAAATAAAAACACCAAAACTATAACAAAAATTAAACCTTAAACTAGAGTAAGATTAAGATGTAAATGAAAGACTAGGTGAGAAAGAAAGCAAACCCTAAGGAAAGGGTTTAGTTACGTTTGTTAACCGATATATGAATAAATGTCTACACAAAAATTAAAGGTGTATACAAGTAGGGCTAGATCTTTTTGTATTGTGTTAGGTAGTTGACATGCATGAGTGCGATAAATGATACAAAATGCGCGCATCAGTGTTCATTCATGAGATGCCCTCCCATCCATTCCTCGTGACTCCATAATGATGGAGGCCGGGTGATAGCAGCTAACTTTAATATAATTTGGATACCCACGAAACTTAATTAATAGGGCCGCATCAGGTGAATTGCCTAGCAGCTCAGCCGATATACTATATAATAAAGATACGAGTATATACATACTTACTCCGGCCGGCCTTATCAAGTTAGCGAGTGAAATATAGATATACATTCCGAGCGCGCAACAAAATGGACATTTTCTTCCAAACAATAACACCCCTCCTCCTGCTGCTGCATCTCACATTCTCCATCCCTTTTGCCCATAGTGACACTAATACTGCGGCCGCGGCCTTGGTGGATGCCCCGCAGGCGAACTGCACGCACGCACGCACGGATGCCCGCGAGCAAGAGGCTGTGTACGAGATCATGAGGGCCACCGGGAACCACTGGGCGGCCGACATTCCGGACGTGTGCCGCGGCCGCTGGCACGGCATCGAGTGCATGCCGGACAAGAGCCGCAGCAACGTGTTCCACGTCGTTTCCCTCTCCTTCGGCGCGCTCTCCGACGACACCGCCTTCCCCACCTGCGGCGGCGCGGCTCCATCCATTTCCCCCGCCCTCACCCGCCTCTCCCATTTGCGGACCTTGTTCTTCTACCGCTGTTTGGCCGGCAACCCCCAGCCCGTCCCGCCCTTCCTGGGCGAGCTCGGCCGGGGGCTGCAAACCCTCGTCCTCCGGGAGAACGGGCACGTGGGGCCCATACCGAGCGAGCTCGGAAACCTGACCCGCCTGACGCTCCTGGATTTGCACGGGAACAGCCTGAACGGGTGCATTCGGGGACAGCTGGACCGCCTCACGGCTTTGAGATCATTGGACTTGAGCCAGAACGAGCTGGGCGGCCCGATCCCCCCCACCCTGGCCTTCCCTCGCTTGCGCACTCTGGACCTGAGCCGGAACGGCCTCGTGGGTCCCATCCCCGCCCGCATCCTCAGCTCCGGCCGCTCGCTCATCAAGGTGGACTTGAGCCGGAACCGGCTCTCCGGTTCGATTCCGGACCCCATCGACGGCTCCCTCGGCAACCTCATACTCATGGACCTCAGCCACAATAGCCTCATCACCTCGCCCTTCCCGAGAAGCCTCAAGAGCCTCAATGCTCTGGCAGCTCTGATTCTGAGCGGAAATGCGGCGGCGGATGCAACCATCCCGGAATCTGTTTTCCAGGGCGGGTTCAAGGGCCTGGTCATCCTGGCGATGTCCGACATGAATCTGCGGGGTCCCATACCGGAGTCGCTGGGAAGGTTGAGCAGCCTTCGGGTGGTGCACCTGGACGGGAACCGGTTGAGCGGTCCCATTCCGCAGAGCTTTGAGAGGTGCCGGCTGAGTGAGCTGAGGCTGGAGAACAACCAGCTGACGGGGCGCGTGCCATTCAACAGGGACGCGCTGTGGAGGATGAGGACAAAGTTGAAGCTTTTCAACAATTCAGGGCTATGCTATGACGGTCATGACGGTGACGACCTTGAAGCCATCTCCGGCTCTGCTATTGGGCGCTGCGCCACCCACCCGCCTACTGCGGCGGCGGTTCAACAAGCGTGGCCACCGGCCAGTACTGCCAGCATCAATTGCCCCCCGCCTCTCATCTTCTCTCTGCTTCGATTACCACCGCCTATTCTGCTTCTCTCCTTCCTAATTTAACCTGTCTTTGTACATTTCAAATTGGTTTCTCTACACTCATAAATACTACTCTCCCTCCCTCCCTTTTAAAAAGCTAGCCACTTGACATTTAGAAAATGAAGTACACAATACCAGCAATACAAAAGTTTTCATAAAAGTAAGAGAGAATTCACTGAATATAACTAAAATGAGTACGATCACAAAGCAACTACACCCTCTCTCTCTAAATAAACTTTAACTTTCCTTTTTCGTCCGTCTCAATTAAAACTTCCACTTTTCTTTTTTGACAAAGAATTTGTGGTTCACAACAATTCTTACACATTTCTCTCTCATCTGCACAATTCTCCACCACACAATACATACTATCTTAAACTGTATGCCAAACCTATTTGGAAGATATATTAGGGACGAAGGGAGTAATATTTAGAATACAATTATTGTGACACCACTCTCAATGCTGCTTGAAGTTGTTATCCATAATTTAACAGTGTATTTGGAACTAGGAAGCAGAAGCAAAATCAGATCCAAACACCCCCTAAAATTTACAAAAATAGTTAAAATGGTCATCTACAGTGACTTCAGTCAATATACCCAGAAAAGTAACTATGATCTTATCTTTTCTTATTATTACACAAGTCAACGCGCGAAAATAAAAATTACGTGTTTGATGAAAAATGTGACTGATAAACCTGATAAGCCGAAAATAGATATGATCAAACAGGCTCATAGTTTCTACTACCTCCGTCCCGTTGGAAGGTTCCCATAGCAAAAACGGCACGATTATTTAGGTGATAATTAAATAAAGTACTTCGGATATATTTTGAGAAATGATTTTAACGGGTATATATTATAATGTGTTAGTATTGATAACTGTGATGTTATAAATGTATTATTTTTAATATTTAATGACTAATTTATTACTTAAGATTGTTAATTGTTTCCTAAAATGAGACGTCAGAGAAAGCGTGAACTTTAACGGGACGGAGGGAGTAATTTAATTCATGTGAAATCTCAATGACAAATGTGAATTTGGCATACTCCCTGTAATGTTCGTGTTTTCCCTGATTCAAAATTCTCCCTTATTCAAACCAGGGGCGGAGCCAAGGGGGGGTCAGGGTGGTCAGCCGACCCCGCTGAACGTTCGAGAGTATAGAGCTCTGAAATATCTTCGATTTGATATATTATGGCCCCCGTAACTCATTACGAGAAAAAAGTTATGATTTTGCAAAATCAGCACTATCTAAACGTAAAATTAGCAAAATTTGATGCATATTATAGATTATTTTTCCAAATGTTAAAATTAGGGTATAATCCACTCAATACTTGCATGACATGACTCAGAAATAGAGCAAAGACAATCTATCTTTTTTGCTATGAGTGTCTATTTAACTGAACTACATATGAAATAATCAAATTAGACATGGTTTAAAAACTATCTAACATTCTCATTATGTATATAGGTTGAGTTTCGACCCCTGAGCCATTTTTCTGGCTCCGCACCTGATTCAAACCATTCCTCAATCCCGGAAAGACCCATTTTTTGTTATTCAACATTGAACCCTATATCTCCGGTACCAACTATGTTCATGTTCCTGCAAATATAGGTATACATACACGCCCTGAGTCGCCTGACGGCTTGATAAGGTATATGAATGGATAAATAAATATTAGATTTACATATGGACACTAATTATACAGCTGTTCCTCCCAAGGATGTATTCGTCGAATTACAGCTGAAAGAAGGAGATTTTGAATCCGACATACCTCAAGAAAACGGGTATACTGAACAGGTCAACGCAGACGATCTGGAATTAGATGATGACATAGATTTAGACAATTTGCCCCTTATTTTCGGTGATGGAAATAAACCTGGATCAGGAATACACGGGGCTGTTTTCAATCTCACAACAACCATCGTTGGAGCGGGGATTATGGCACTGCCCGCAGCAATGAAAGTCCTGGGTTTTATTTTAGGGTTTGTTCTGATAATCCTAATTGGCATCTTATCTGAAATGAGTGTTGAATTGCTTATACGTTTCTCTGTTCAGTGCAATGTGACATCTTATGGGGAAGTGGTTCATGCAGCTTTGGGTAAGACAGCTAGGATGTTATCTGAGACTTGTATAATTGTTAACAATGCAGGTGTGTTGGTTGTTTACCTTATTATAATAGGAGATGTTATGTCTGGTTCTGTTCACCACATTGGTGTTCTTGATCAATGGTTAGGTCAAGGTTTCTGGGATCATAGGAAGTTTGTGGTTTTGATCTTTTTGATTTTCTTCCTTGCACCACTTTGCGCGTTGGACAAGATCGATTCTTTAAGCTTAACATCGGGAGCTTCCGTGGCCCTTGCTGTAATATTCGTTATTGTTTCTTTTGTCATTGCCTTCGTTAAGCTTGTTGAGGGGACTATTGAAATCCCTAGAATGGCCCCGGATTTCGGGTCCACCAACGCAATCTTGGATTTGTTCGTCGTGATTCCTATAATGTCCAATGCTTATGTGTGTCACTTTAATGTGCTGCCTATTTATAATGAGTTAGAAGAGCGGTCTCCTGAGAAAATGTATCGGGTTGGGAGGGTCACAACTGTCATCTGTGTCCTTGTGTATGTTTCAACTGCTGTGTCGGGGTATTTGCTCTTTGGGAAAGAGACTGAATCGGATGTATTGACTAACTTCGATAAAGACCTTGGGATACCATTCAGTGCGGCTCTAACGTACATTGTCCGCATGGGGTATGTCTTCCACTTGATCCTTGTATTCCCCGTGATTCATTTCTCACTAAGGCAAGCCGTTGACGCGTTATTCTTTAAGGATTATGCTCCACTCACTGAGAGTCGAAGGAGGTGTTTGGCTTTGACTGTGGTTCTCTTAGGCCTTGTGTATTTGAGTTCAACGATGGTTCCTAACATTTGGACTGTGTTCAAGTTCACAGGAGCCACCACAGCCGTCTCTTTGGGATTTACCTTCCCATCTCTCATAGCGCTACAGCTTAGCAAAGAAGGGAACAGGTTGAGCAAAGGGGAGAGAAAATTATGTTGGCTCATGCTGGTACTGTCCATTATGGTGAGCATTTTGGGAGTGTGTGGCAACGTTTATAGCATCGAGAAGCTAAGCTAGTCGCCATATCGTTTGTTCATCATACAATAATAGAATGGTTGATCATGTGGAAAAGTGAATCTCTAGCTAGCCCACCACGTGCTGAGTGTGTGCCCTCCATCCAAGCAGTTATAATCCGTTATTATCTCCATATATTATTCCTGTATTGTTGGAGCAGGTAGTTTTATATATTTATTGTTGGTTTTTGATATATCTGCTTTGGCTTTTTTTTTTCCACAGTCAAATGGGTTACATGGTACGACAAGATATACCAAAGTTGTAATTTTGCCACTGTGGTAGTCCCATATCACACGTTCACATCTTGGATTTGCAGGCGTTATATAATCTCTGTTATATTTTATCACTTATAGGTTCTACTACTTTGTTAGAGTGTGTGTATTAATTTTAGTGTGGGGCTCTTAGACCTAAAGTTAAAACATACACAGCGGGAAGAAAGAGAGCATTTTTTTGGAGAGCATTCAAAAATAATGTGGAGAACTGGAGATTACATCTTGTGTCCAAAAATAAGTAAACGGATCTACCACCACCTAATTTAATTTTATAAATCCCTCTTCAAACCTACACGTTTTTGCGCAGGGAATCTCATTTATACACATTCTTATGAAGCACCTCAACCGAGAAGCATTACGTTTCTTTTCATCTACGTACCTGGGTCTGTGATCGTTTCTTGGAAGAGTTGATGTGCTCACTAGCGGTACTCGCAGATGAGTCGATTATTTGTTGGGAAGTAGCCGTGTGGTGTAAATTAGTTTTTTTTGGTAAAAGTACAGAAAACATACATGTGGTTTGAGTCATTTTCAGATAGGGGCGTGTGTTTCATTTTCTAACAAAGTGGGGCACGTGTTTCAATTCCGTTATCATAGCAGGGGCATGGCGTTTAACGCTGTTAGAAAAATTAAGGGAAAACTGTCAAATAGGTCCTCGAACTTTCATAAAAAAGTCAATTAAGTCCTTCTATAGGAGACTCTGTCCGGTCGTCGCGATTTGGGGCGGTTCCCGGTGGAATTTTTTGAAGAAATTTTTTAAGCATCTTATTCATCAAGTCTAGTTTACTCATACCAAATTTCAGCTAAAAATTTAATCGGGAGCGCATTCAAATTAATTCGAGAACGCAAAAATGCGCAGTTATCTTCAAGAATTAATTTGAATGTGTTCCCGGTTGAATTTTTAGCTGAAACTTGGTATGAGTAAACTAGACTTGGTGAATAAGATGCTCAAAAATATTCATCAAAAAATTCCACCGGGAACTACCCTAAATCGCGACGGCCGGGCAAAACCTCCTATAGAAAGACTTAATTGACCTTTTTATGAAAGTTCGAGGACCTATTTGACAGTTTTCCCAAAAATTAACTCCGATTTTAAAAAGTCTTCAAAAAATTAAAAGAAAAATACTGGGAGGTGCACCTCGTCAAGGAGATCAACAAACACTCTTTCTCTTTGGATTTTTCGGCTCTATTTGGATTATTTTTTGGGAAAACTGTCAAATAAGTCCACGTACTTTTAACAAAAAATCAATTGAGTTCACCTACTTTTTTTCGAGTCAATCAAGTCCGTGTACTATAAAAAAATGATCAAATTGTCTTGTTAACAGGTATTCAACCGGTTAACCGGTTAACAGGCATTATTCTATTGTTTTTCAATTTTTTCTTTTTCTTTTCCCTTTCTCTCTTCCCTTTTTCTCTTTTTTTTTTTCCTCTTTCTTCCTGGTCTGCCCTCTTCTGCGTCTAAACTCCTTCATCTCCCCTTTCCCTTCATTTGTCTGTAGCTATAGATCTATGGAGCTGGAGGCGGCAGCAGCTATGGAGGTTGGGTGGTTGGACGTCGTTCCAATTGAAGATGCGGAGGTGGAAACCGTGGATGTGAAACCGGAAGCTGCGGGTATGGTGGTCAGGGGCTCAGGGCGGCGGCCATGGAAGCCGGCGTGGTTGAAGGTCGCTTCATAGATGTGGCGAAGGG